TAAAGCTGAGAGGAACTCCAGGTACCCATCACCAGGACAGACATCATCCTTGGAGCATTATAGGTCCTGACCTCATCTTGATCCAAACACCATGTTGTAGGGCAGCTCTCTGGACTGCCTCTCCCCACCTGCACTGCCATGCAGACACAAAGTGTGTGCATGGCAGTGTGCGTGGGTAGGGCTGTCATCTTCTCCTACCTCTTGGCCCTTGCACTCATCAGGAGTCCTAAGGTAGGGAACCAAAGCAGCTCCACGAGCATTTCACCACCATGAAATAAGAGATGATATGAAGCTGTAGGGGCTGCAAGCCTCTTGAAGGCAAAATTAGTAGTAACAACTACCTTTGAAACTATAGAAACACTGAAAAGATGGGATGCTGTTCAGCAAGAAATGGGAAAGATGCTAAAGGTAGGCAAGAAGACCACACTGAGCATCCAGGACAGGGTTTGACTGGGGTAGCAGTCCTTCAAAGACTGCTGATCCACCCAAGGGAGGGCCAAGGCATCCAAGGGAGACAGTGATTAGTGTCAATCAACAGTGCAGTGCTGCTTTGAGAGAGGCAAACCACCCGTGTAGGTAGGAACATGGGGTGAAAGACATGCAATATCATTCTTCAAGTTTGCTGACTCTCCTTGGCACTGGCAAGTCCTCAGCTGGGGTCATGTGTGCTTCTCCAGGCATCACCAGTCAGTAAGGATGCGGAGCAAAGGCAGAACAATTTGCATGGGTAGAGATCTAGAAAATATGACCTAAGAAGGTAGTAGGGGGGTGTAGAGGGGATTTAGCTGAGAACAGGTTAAAAGTAGACATAGGAACAGTCTTAAAATATTTTGAAAAGCAGCCATAAAGAAGAAAGGAGTAGACTCTTCCCCATGTCCACTATGAAGAAGACAAGAAATAATTTACAGCAAGGGATGTTCAGGTTAGATATTGGGAAGAAACACTCAAGAAGATCAGTTAAGCATGAGGACAGTTTCAGAAGGCAGAAACAGCTTTCTTACTGGAGGGGTTTATGAACATACTAGACAAGCATGAGTCAGGAATAAGATGAGGACAACTGATCCTGTTTTAGGGCAGAAGGAGGCTTCCTGCGTTCCTTCCACCTTTATTTTCTACGAACACTCCCAGGCTGGTGTAACAGCCACAGAAAGAAATAGACAAGTTTGAGCTTTCAGCCACAATTCCTTTTGCCTCATAAATCCTCTTTCCCCGCCTGCCCTCCCATCTGCCTCTTTAACCTGAAGAGTTTTTCATTGGCAATGTGATGCTGTTGGTATGTTAAAAGTATTCCTGGCATTCCCCATCAAGGACATTCCTGGTGTCACCATCAAAGATCGGAGGTTGTTGTCTTTCACATCGCATAGCACACGACTGCCTTCAAGGTCAACCTGACTTACCTAGAGGCTGCTCAACATCCCGTCGGGCTTTGGGGGAGTAGAAGAAACCCCGCTCTCCACACACCAGGTAAAGAGCTTCCACCAAGTGGGAGCCACAGAGGTGCTGGTTGGCAACTGCATGGCTGGTCCCAGGGCCAGAAAGAGCGAGAAGGGCCAAGAGAGGCAGCGACTCGATCCAGAGAGCCATCGTGAGTAGGGTGAGGCCTAGGGATAAGAGACAGAGGAGATACAGGGAGGTCTAGGAGGAAGAAGTAAGTTGTCAAACATCTTATGTCCTTCAGGTCCTTTGGCATGAAAATGAGACCAAAGTAGCAGATGGACCTTCTAAAGATGACCTATCTTGAGAGGGAAGGAGAGCTTTCTGCATCAGGCTTTACAAGTCACACTGACTAACAATTACTAGCAGAAGTCCATCTCCATCCATATGCTCACATCAGTTCTGACCTCCCTGCTGTCTTCCCCCAAAAGGCCAAACTAGACCAGAAAAGCCATCCCACTCAGTCCTGGAGCATACATGCCCAGGAGAGCTGAGATCAGCAGACACCTTCAGAGGAAAACCCCTCTCTGCCAAGTCAGAAGGGGCTGTTATTTATGATGATGGCTCAAACCCAGCACAATGTGCTCAAAGACTTGAGGAGACCTCATTTTCTTGGACTAGCAAGCCAGCACTTGTTACCACCAGCTACATCAAGAAAACAGCTGGGCAAAAAAGGGTAGAAGCTAAAAAAACTTACCCAAAAAGGAGCTAAAAAGACTTACCCAAAGAAGTGGCAGCAAGAGATGGAGAGAAGGTTGCTCTGAGAGATGAAGACTGGTTGGTTGGTAGTAAGATCCCCATTCTCTCCCATATTTATATGCTTTACATTAGGCCAAGTGACATAAGAGCCAGTGTGGGCCCCACCTCCTCAATGACACTCTAGCCAAAATTTTTGCTGCTTGTGCACATTAATTTCCTTCTACGTAACATCAACAGGTCTTTAAGCAAGTTAAGATAGAAGCAATAGTTTACAGTTTCCATCTCATTTCATCCAACCTGTTTTTGTTTCCCTGAAGCTCTGTCCTGAGCTATCAGTGACCCTTTTAGCAGGAGATAATGGTGCTATCACAGCTGTGATGATTGCTAATGACACTCATACTGGCAATAGGCACTGCTGGCATTGAGGTGGCTCAACAGCTGTTTCTGAAATGTAAAATTAAAGGCAAACATGTTAATCTGTTTGACTAATAACACCTTGGAAAGTATGCAGTGATGGGACCAAGGTGTAGGTGAGACCATGCTACCGTCAGGTGTTCAAGGAAGGAAAACACATTATTGCTACTTGCAGCCTCACTCACTGGCCACATGGTCCACAGAGAGAGACACGTGCCCACGGGTTGGGTTGGGGGAGGAATAACATCTGCATTTTACAGGAGACCTTTGGTGGTTGTTCTAGCTCAGGGTGGGGACAGAGTTAGAGCATTTAAAATTTTATATGTGAAAAAATAAGCCTTCTCCCCTTGGCCCACTGAAAGGCAGGTCCCTTCCTTCATCTGCTGGGTGTCCCTTCAAATCCCTGTTCGGGATTAAGCGGAGCAGAAACTCAGTCTCTGCCATTTGCAGGTGAGAGCTCTGAGCACCTCCGCTCTTCTCTCTGGGGCTCTGCCCAAAATTTTATCTTCGACATCAAGAAACATTTCTGGTAAATCCCAGTAAAAACCAGGAGGTAGCTGATGATCTCCGGGGAGATCTTATAGCAGCCTTCCAATACCTGAAGGGGCTACAAGAAAGCTGGGGAAGGACTTTTCATGAGGGCAGTTAATGACAAAACAAGGGGAAATGGGTTTAAGCTGAAAGAGGGGAGGTTTAAATTAGATATTAGGAAGAAATTGTTTGGTGTGAGGGTGGTCAGACACTGGAACAGGTTGCCCAGAGAAGCTGTGGCTGCTCCTCCCTGGAAGTGTTCAAGGCCAGGCTGGATGAGGCTTTGAGCAACCTGGTCTAGTGGAAGGTGTCCCTGCTGCTGGCAGGGGGGTTGGGACTGGATGATCTTTAAGGTCCCTTCCAATCCTAACCATTCTATGATTCTATGATCTCCATTCTGGCTGGTAAATTCACTTTTAATAGGAGATGATGATGCAGGGGTGGTCCACTGGCTTCCATGGGTGTGAGCTTGGCAACAGATCTAGCTCTCTGTCTTTCACAACATTACCCCATTTTTTTTTGATACCCCTGTGCTCAACTTTTCCGACACTGCTTGTACATTTTTTCTGCTTGAAGTATATTTTATTTTCCTTTCCCCCTGCCTGAAAAGGCTTATTTTAAATGCCGGGGATGAGATGATCTTCAAACTTCCTATTGCTCTAAATGTCGAGACTACAAGTGCTCAGCACCACAGAAAAGGAGACAATTTCATCTCTTTGCACTCTTAGAATAAGCTTGATTCTCCATCCACCATATAAAGCAGAAGGAAGTTCACTGAAATCAGCAGAATGCCTTGAGATTTGAACCAGATTTCTTGAGTAGCCAAAGCAATTCCATCCATGAGCATCTAGGAGGTAGGAAGTCCCATATGCCCCTGCCACGGCTTTAAGTGTGAAGTATCATATGTTTACTAAATGACTGCGATTGCAAAAAGGTTTGTGAGAAATGCTCCATCTCTGATGAGCGTCCAGGGAAGGGGACTCATTTGCTCCAACGGATGTGAGACAAGGTTATCAGTTACATCCCTGCCATGTAGGGCTCTTTTGGCCTCCTGCTAATAAATCCAAGTTGTGATGCTCAACTACAGTTAATAGCATTAGTGCACAACGTGTAACACTATCTCTGTCTCCCTTCCCCTCAAAAACGATATTGGATGTAATTGAATGACCTAGTGGTATATCCATGAAGAGGGTCTTAGGTTTCAGCAAGATATGAGTACAGGGAATTCACTTACTCGGACCTTCTTTCTAGTAGGAGATGGGGAAATAGCAGCTCCATGGGGTAAAACCTGCCATTTTACCCCATTTCAAGTAGGTTGGCAAAGCCAGGAGCAGAAACCTTGTGCCACTCACGCTTCCTGCAGAGCAGGGAGCCCTCACCTGGCAGCTCACACAAAGGGGATAACTTGCAGAATGACCCTACAGATCCCCTTAGCAGTCACCTTCCTGCAGTCACCACACTCATGAGGTCTAATGGACCTCAGGCCAGTGGTCACCTTGGAAAGGCACCAGAGCAGGGTGCTCCCTGGGTTCATCACACTCTGAGATTTGCCATTTAGGGTTTTCCTTCTTGCATTTTTGAGCATTACCTGAGCTTACCTGAACTCATGTTTTATTGACAGTGGGACTTTGTGAGGGAGGCTCCTCTATCCCCTATCTTCTTTCTTCTGGGTAGCTTCTCTGCTGGGCTTACCCCACTGATGTAGCAAGAAAAGCTATTTTATTTTGTTCTGGAAGTGCCATAAGTGCCTTGTTATTAGTCTATCACTTCCCTTACTCTTGGCTAACCAAATCCTGGAGGTAGCATCAAAAATCGTGTGGTATTTCTGCAGCATGCCCCAGCAGGGAAGGGTTGACTTCAAGTGAGAGTTCAGGAATCCCTCTTGGCTCTCTGTAGCTTGGGTGCAGAAATAAACCAGAAGATTTATGGGAAGGAAAAATGATATCACACTGGCTCAAAGTTCAGCATGGGCCAATCTTTTTTGCAAAAGTTTCCTATTATGATTTTTTTCCCCCTTTCCAAAATATGATCACTTTGATTATTTATTGGAAATCATATTTTCTTACCATAAATGGTCCTTTGGAATATGAAAAATGCTAGCAGTGATCTAAACGGATATAAAATGGATATAAACTACGGAAAGCTTTAGATGGAAAACTCCCATGTCAGCAGTGAACTGAGAGAGGGGCCAACGGGGGAGCCCGTTTCTTGAAGGAAAAGCTTTTTCTACAGAAAAATCTCAGTTCACTTCTTCCATGTTGGGCTTCCCCATGATTTTCAAGTGATTAGGCAGCAATGGGCCAATCGCTCATCCATAATTTCTGCTACATGTGCCTTCTGTGAATCCCCCAGCTCCTCAGCTCTTCACTTGGGTGGGAGCAGCTGGGTGGGAGTGGGCTGCTTCTGGTTCCTGCCCTTCATGCTAAACCACCTTTGGACGTGACTTTAAGCCACTTCCCTTACTCACATCCCCCCGACCTCGAGCAGTTGCATCAGTGGGAACGAGGTTTAGGCAATCCCTGGTGCCATGTAATCAAGTTTTACAGTCCATTGCCAGCACAATAAAATCTTTACTACTGTGGATGTCTAACATTTTCAAACCCTGTCCTGAAGAAATAACAAACCCGCTACGGGGGAACTAGTTAACAATTACAAGTTTGTGCAAGTTTTACTGACAGCAAAGGTCAGGTCTGGAGACCAGTGAGGTCTGAGAGCACCCCAAGATGCCACCCATGTCCCCACTGATGCTTTCATGCTTGGTGGCCACCACCGGCTCTGCTCTGCCCATCCCAGGTGTGTGTTACCCCAGAAGCAGAGCAACATGGCAGTGACCTTGTGTCTTCTTTTCCCTGGAGAGCAAATCTGGTGGCTTGTGAAACAGGTGCTGCCTGCCAATGCACCCCCATTGCCAAAACATGGTCCCAAGGACGCTAGAGGGGTCAGCACCCCCAAGAGCAGCTTTTGGGAGTGGTCAGCCCCTGGGAGATGCCCCAGTATGGCCACTGGTAGCTGGGGAAGTGTAGCTGGGACAATGCACTCCAGCACATGGGCTGTTTGAGCTACAGAGGTGTAGTTTTTTGCTCAGCACGGGGAGATGGGGACCCCCCCAGGCCCAGTGGTTGCCCTCTCCAGGCTTTGCTCTGCTCCCCATGTGGGGTCCAGCAGCAGCCAGTGGCATGGCATGAAGTGGAGAAGCTGGCATCCTTGATGCTCCTTGTCTCCATGTGGCTTCCAGCAGCTGTGCTCCTGTTGGAGTGTCCAAACATCCTTGGAGCAGCAGCATGGGACCTCCCCACCAGCAGCAGTGGTGCAAGATGAAGGGTGGGGAGGTCAACCTGATGGGAATGCTTACAACCAAATCCTGCCATGCCAAAGATATGACGTGGTAGCTACTGTGGGCTCAGAGAGGAGAGGGGGCTGCTGTAGCAAAAGGTGAGGTTCTGAAGCTTATCTGGAGCCACACAATGAGAGATGCTCTTGCTTGAAAGGGGAATTGTGCAAGCAGA